ACGTGTGCTCTTCCGATCTTTGTTACTTCTTACCAATAATTGTAGCATTTGGGTCGAGAGTTGGTAAAAGAATATTATTTGTTGTATCTCCGGGACCACAACCGACATCCATACATGTTCCAGATATACTTTTCAGGTTTTTGACAAATTCATTCACTATCATTAATACGGCACGTTTTTGCGTCACATTAGAAGATACGTACTCTGCTGGATTTGCCATGTTTAACGGTCACCACTATACTGCGCAGTGGCATACAAAGATAGAAACCGCAGAAGACTTAATGTCACTTATGCAAGGACTCTGAAGGGGATTGGATGGAAATCTGCTGGATGTGAGGTCCACTGTCATGTTGGTTTTCTCTCTCTCTCTCTCTCTCTCTCTCTCTCTCTCTTTCTCTCTCCCCCCGCCTTTCTCTCTTTGTGTCACTGGTAGAAAATATTTTCTTTTTTCCTCTGAATAACAGGTATAGAGCAAAGCTAGAGCAATATAGTGCTCTTCCTCCCATTGCGGCCCTTTCCTTTCCCTACTATTATTGTTCTCTTCTTTCTTTTTTTTACCCCTAATTCTTAAAAATCTTTTATTAATTTTTTTTCTTTTAGTAATTTTAATAACTTCAAGTCCGAACTTAATTTACGATGGTGGGAGGTCTAGCTTAATAGGGGTTAATTTTAATAATTTATTTAAAAAATTTATATTAATGCAATAAGAGGGAGAGTGAATGAACTATAGTGTTGATCTATAGTTGACATAATTTAAAGCGTGTTTATCTTGTTGCAAACTATTCACCACGATTATTATAATTGTACACATGATGATCGTTGCTTTGCGCTCTTTAATGTAGTTCTTTATTTATCTATTTCTTAATTATATTGACGAAATCAGTTGTTTAATTAATTTTTTTATGCAATATCTTATTTTATATGTATTTATTCAATTCTAGTTATGAATAACAATACCAATCAATTTTAATTTGAACTATTGAAGACTTTGTGTAGTGCGAATCGTTTTGACATTAAAATTATTTATTAATAGTTATTTATTTTGGTGATTGATATCACATTTTACTGTGGTTCGTTTCTTTGTTCGAATTTCCTTATTGATTTGTTGTTCAAACACGAGACTTTTATTTATTTAATTTGTTAACTTAGAAAAAGTTCGAATTAAAAGTTCAAAGTTCTATCTCGTGCGCGTGGTAATTCCGCGTGTGGGTTAGAGGAACGTTATATGGCGTGAAAGCTGCTCGAAAGCTGCGTTTTCTCCCGTAGCAACTATAGATTAACACTATAATTTTCTTTCTCTTCCTCCTATTGCATCATTTAATTAAAATTTTTGTAATAAATTATTAAAACTATTAAAATCAAAAGAAAAAAAATAACTAAAAGAAAAAAAATTAATAAATACAAAGATTTCTAGGAAACAAAGGAAAAGGAAGGAAAGAATAATAATAGTTCATCTATAGCTGTTAAGAGAGAGAGAGAAAGAGAGAGAGGGGAGACAGAGAGGGAAAGAATGAAAGAAATATGATTATTTTTTATTTAAATCAAAGTAAAGAAATGTGTTTAAGAAGAAAGTATAACATATGGATTAATTTATCATCGATTAAACTTGAAAAGATTTATGGAGTAGTCAAGAACAAAAACAAAATAATAAACGGAATGTAACGATGAGGTATAGCTAAACATAAAAAGTTCCACTGCCGCAGGAATGCCAAAACAATATCACCGATTGTATTGAGACGCGTTGCTTTCGCGCGTTTCGAAGCAGATGGTAGAAGAGACATTTGTAAGCCATACGCAAGTGAAATAGTGAAAATTCAATTGGTTAGTGACGTATTTCCCTCTCTCTTGCTCTACGGACCCGTGTCACGGGGGCCTCATTGCCCCTTTGATCTCCATTGGAGCTGCCCGAGTTAGAACTTTATAGGCATTCTGCTTTAACGTTAATATACAGCGACTGTCAAACATGGCAAATCCAGCAGAGTACGTTTCTTCTAATGTGATGCAAAAACGTGCCGTATTGATGATAGTAAATGAATTTGTTAAAAACCTGAAAAGTATATCTGGAACATGTATGGATGTCGGTTGCGGTCCTGGAAACATAACAAGTAATATCCTTTTACCAGCTCTCGACCCAAATGCTGTAATGATTGGTAAGAAGTGACAAATTCCACGAATATAACAGCGTAATATAACGTTGTAATTTGTTTTTCATTACAATGACCTTGTAGGAACGGATGTTTCCGTGGCTATGATTGAATATGCCAAGAAAGCGTACTGTGACAACAAACGACTTGAATTCGAAATATTGGACATTCAAACTAAGAGCTTGCCTGAAAAATATATTTCTAAGTTTAATCATATATTTTCGTTTTTTACATTGCATTGGTGCAACGAGATAAGGTAAGGAATTTTTTAAATAGATAATTATCTTTTAAAACTATAATTATGTATAATTAGTTAATAGATAACACATGCATAGGTATATGCATACGTAACATACACCGTGAGGAGCAAAAGTTCCGAAACGGTCTCTTGTCTCATAGTATTGGTTTAATATAAAAATGTTTGAACCCAATACAAATTGTAAGGTTTGAGAACATCTGTTAGTTGATGATATTTATTTGTGCTTTAACTTGAAAAGTGCGGTTAATCTCAAAATAAATATCTTAAATGGAAATCTCTACTTTTTATTGCATATTTTTGTAGCTAACGTCAAGAGCTTTTCAAAATACTATAATGAAGTTATTTTTCATTAAGTACTTTTCGAGTTATAAGACTTGAATGTTACAATACCGCTGGCATTTAGAGTCAGAAAATACTGTAGTATAACCATGAGACTCGTATCTCTGTTGTGGCACACACATAAACACATGCGCACGCACGATGTGTAAATTCGCCAGGACAATCTCAACATACATCTTGAATAATATTAATGCCAGCAGTACTATAACTTTCAAATATAACTCGAAAAGTACTTAAAGAGAAAAATAACTTTATCATAGTGTTTTAAAAAGTTCTCAATGTCAGCTATAAGAATATGCAATAAAAAGTGGAAGTTTTTATTTAAGATTTTTATGTGATCGTGCTTTTTAAAATCATCCAAAAACAGACATCAGCATTTAATCGATTTTTTTTAACTCTAAAATTTTTGTTTGAACCATTTTTCCATTACTTAACCAATACTTTCTGAAATAATTCGTCGTTCCGGAACTTCTGCATCTCACTGTATATATGTATGTATGTGTGTGTGTGTATACATGCAACATATTTTTTCGAAACATATTCCTATAATTGTTACTTTTATAATAATGTTCTATTTTTTTTTATTTATTATAAAATAACACGACGCATATTTTTTAATAATAAAAATGTTTTATGCTAGTCTTATATTTTATTCAAACAGTTGTATTAAATTTCCTTGTCACGAAAATATTATAATAAAAATATATTTTAATAAATTAAAATTTAATATTATAATAAAAAAATATTTTAATAAATTGATGACATTTCTCTTCTTTATGTAACAGAACAGCGTTTGAGAATATGTACTGCATGCTTCAACCTGGTGGAACTATCTTTATACTTTTTCCATTATCTCACGATACATTTTATAATCCGTTGAAGAATATTGCGCGAGATGCCCGTTTTGCGCCTTACTTTCAAGTCAATATTATTTATATATTTTTCTTTTCGCAATCTTTCAGTTAAAAATGTTAATTATTGCTTTTGCCTTACATAGAATCTGGAGAAACGTTTATCGCCCTTATATGATTCGGTCTTCCCTCGGGAAAACCTAAAAAATCTACTTGAAAGTGTCGGATTTAATGTTCAACATTGCAGTCTTCGTGAACTTGACTTTTCTGATTTGCTAAATACAGATACATTTTTAAGTTAGTTATTTTGAGTAATATGTAAAAATGAAATTTTAAATTATAAAATTGCATACATTTTTCATCCCATTTTTTTCTTTATGTTATCATTTAAGTATTTTATAATGATATTTTACGATTGATTACGATTTAGATATTAATAATAATATTATTATTATTAATAATGATATTATTAATAACATTAACACATTTACATTATTTTTTTTTGGTAGATTCGATTATGTCCATTTGTAACTTCATAGATGCGATGCCACCTGAACGACAGGAAGAATTCAAGGTTGAATTTTTACGTGAACATAAAAATTACATAAAAATAAAATTATATGATAATAAACAATGTGATAAGGAAAGACCAATATTAGATGTACATAAGTTATTACTCGCTGTCGCACAGAAAGATATGTAATAATCGTAACAGCATATTATGCCACGTTTGTATTATGTAATGCATAAAAATTACGAAATTTTACGAAGTTAATAAAAGACGTTGTTTTTAATAGTTGTAGAATTTCTTTTCAATTACATCCTATTTATTTATATTTCCAAAATGATTAACATTAAAATTTTTAAAATCGTCATTTAAAATTGAAAACTAGACGTGTAAAAATAAATTACTTGTATTTAAATACGTTTATTATAATAGAATAAATATAACAAATTTATAATTACCGAGATTTAAAATCATAGTAAATGAAACTAGTTTTATTGCAAGAAACATTTAAACGTTGCTATTGCACGACCTGCAGATAATCGAATAATCGGAAATTTGTCTTGGCGAAATTGTTATACGAGTCGCAAAACCTCTCTCGGTCAAAGATCAGTTAAGATAGGGAACGCGCAGTCTATTACATGACCGTTATGTAGCGAAAAAATATACTTGGCGGGAGACGCTACCGCGTCTCCTGATCTATACTCGTGGCTCTTGTCTTTTTTCGTCCTATATCGTTTCGCGACCGTCTTGGATCGTTAATGCTTGCAATTCGCCCGAGCGACGCATTAGAACTGCAAAATATTAGCCTCGCTAATATTTTGATATCGCGTGTGCCGAGAGATAGTTCCGCCGATCGAGGATAACATGATAACGAGACGCATACGCACACGCGCGCACAACATGTTAACGCGAGAGAGTTAGTGCAGCTAAGGGAATTAACGCTCTTGGAAAAGCCAATTGAAAGACCGCGGAAGTAATTTAATTATGCCACGCATTCGAGAAGGACTGCCCCGTTACGGTAGATTTAACAACATATTTTAATAGAACGGTGAGAGAGTGAGTCGCTTCAAGTCGCGCTTGTCACTCGTGACAAGGAGATCGTTGGAGAACGTGAGTAACGCTTTTTGTCCGCTTTTTGCAATTTTCTATTCTATTTTATTACTTTGATCTACGACTTTATATTATTATATTTCATTAATATAATATTATGATAGCTAATTTTATTTTATTTTTTTATATTATTTAGAAAGTGACTAAGAGAAAAAGATATTTCACTTGTTAATTACTTTGCATTTGTTAATCATGTTAACTTTGTTCTCGAGTAAATCTCTCGTACGATTTTCTGGTATCAACAAACCTGGTTTTTTCCCCGTTTCTTGCAATAGTTTTATATTAAACATTAAAATAAATATAGATGTTCCGTCTCTTATAATTTTTTGGAGTATCTGACATTTTTCATCGTAATTTTTATCGTTAAACGCTTGGCTGTATATTAAACAACGCATTATATTCAATCAATCAGTCTTTTATGAGCCAATTAAGATCGTAGTCCCAATTCTATCATAGTTAAGTCTCTACAAAAACTATACTTATAAAGGATAACACCATCGAAAATATGCCCAATCAACAAACTAAAACAAGCATTATAGAGTAATTTGACTGAAATAAATAATAAAAAATTAAATATCTATATTTCTATACATTTAATTTTAGAAATATAAGTAATAAATAAATAAATATCAAGTTTTACATTATAATTATTTCTATTTATAGTTTTACATTTTACATAAATGTATTATATATTTATTAATATATATATTATATATATTATTATTTTATTAATATTTATTAATATATATATTATTATTCTTATTATTATTTTATATAAATATATATATATATGGTTTTATTAATTTAATAATATTGTAGTAAGATTTATTTTATTTCATTTTTCTTATTACTTAGAAAGTGACTAAAGATATTCCGTTTCGTTTTTGTTAATCGTGTTAAATTTGTCCTTGCGCCATAAATAGTATTATTTCCTGGTATCACATCACGTTACATTTCGCAATATTGCTTGCATGTCTAGAATCTTTTATTCGCCATTTTACCTGCACGTTTATGCGCAAAATCTTCTGTTTGATCGTCTAATTTGCTCGTAACGCTTATCAGTCGGCAAATCCTCGCGAATCCCTCCTCGGTTATCGCAGAATTTATCGCGTCTGTTCTAGCCGCCGACTCGGAATGATAATTATCCACGAATTCGTCGCGCATTTGTCGCTACAAAATTAATACCAGTCTGTTTGCAATTCGTTATTTGTTGTTCATGATTTACCGATCCGGTTCACCGTGATAATATGAAGGTAATTTATCTTCTTCTTATTGTTAATTTTTAATTCATTTATTTTTCTTTCTTAGTTTTTGTAATTTTCCTTCTCGTGGATTATTCATATTCACTTCAGGTTTTATTTTGAAAAATTGATTAGATTAATTAAAAATATCATAAAGTAAGTAGTATAATTTGGTAATTAATTTAATTGGTTTCCCAATTAAATTACCGTAATGCTTTTCAGTACGAGGATTGTGAGTCTTGTTAGAGTAGTGTTAGATGAATCAATTGACTCTTTGATTTCGTTTAAACACCGGCACATTTCCGGCAAATCGATACGAACTGATAAGAAATGCGAACTTGCCCATTTATCTATGTATTCTATGTCATTTATGAATGCCGTACGGATAGCGAACGAATTACGAATTACGCATAGCTTAACAGTCGACTGGAAACATCTACTAATATCCTTTGTTACCAATATAGATTAGCAATATAGATTCATCTCGGTTTAACTTACTTTTTATCTTTTAGTTCTAGAATTAGAAAAAGATAAAGAGTAAATTAAACGTAGTAAGTTAAAGTTAATCTACAGTAGTAGATCATGGACATAAAATTCTGAGCGTATGATTTTGTTTACGTTTTTGCTGGCTTTTTCGCCTTCAAATATTTTCGCAGGTGTTACAGATTGCGTAAACGCGTGGCAAAAAATTACAATACGCTTTTTGCGAATTTGCGTAATTCCGTTTTGCATTCTCTTTGTCATGGTTTCGTTATCGAAATGTTGCAAAGTGTTGCGCGACACTTTTTTCGCGATTCATTTTATAATGTAAGCTTAATGTGATATTGAAGTTGATATTATCTCCTCAAAACATGCGTTTCGAGTGTCTCCTAAAAAGTTTTGATTTGTGAAACGAGATATTTGAGATGATTTTTGAGAAATTTTATAAAAAAAATTTTTAAGATATAGCTATATGAATAAATCTTATATACAAGATATACATATGTATTTATTATGTATTTATTATGTATTTTTTATGTAAACGTAAAAATAATATATACACACACATGAGAAATATATATGTATATATTTATGTATATATTTATATGTATATATTTATTTTATATATTATTATGTGAATGAAATACATGTATATGTAATATGTATATTATTTTTAGATAATGAAACAGTTTTCGGAATAAAATTAAAAGACGGTACAAAGAAAATTACGCCATACGTACTTTTGTACTAATAATATAATTAATTGCATATAAGTATATAAAAGATAGAGATTTATGTGCATATAATATTTATATGTATATTATATGCATATTATATGTATATTGTATTTTTACTTATATACATATATAATAAAGATTTATTTATATGTATATACATATTATACATATAAAAATATATTTCTCAATTTAGATACACGGAAAGAACAATTTTGCTGAATTCAGATCTGAAAATAATTTTTGTTCAATAATCAAAATAATTTTGTGCGAAAGTCAAAGT